TGTGGCCGTCGGCCATAGTTTTATATATATTTTTGTTAATTTTAGTTAGGCTTAGTATCTCCTCTGTTCTTTTGTCTTAACTGTTCTAGAACTTTCTCCCTTAATCCCTATTCCCTCGGGTGACATCACCGATTCTGTGAAACAATGTCAAGAAGACAAAAGGAGCAATAACCCCCTGGAGAGGAGGCGAGGTGAAAGAAAGGAGAAGTGGCTGCGATTTCGTCGAGAGAGGACGAAAACGAGTGTGGTCCTGACCGAGGGGTCGAGCAAGAAGTAAGAAACCTTGCGATAGAAAACCGAAGGAGGATCATACCCTGATCGCATAGTGAGAGATCAGAGGTATCGGAACCTTGTAAGAGGGCTGAATTATAGAGGAACGTAGGGCAGTTGCTAAAGAAATCGAGTTTCCCCATGTTCAAGTAACGGCAAGCGGGAAGACCACAAGACAACTTCAGAAAACGTAGACGTTCATAAGAGGAAAGAAATTAAGGTCTGCAGTCATTAAGAATTTCAAGACGGTGAATCATCCGAGACCATGTGGCAGAAAACTCTCGGGTATTTTCTCCTTTATTCTACTACTATCCCTATCTATATTTTATTTCTCCTTCTTTAGTTTGTAAATAGGTTAAGTTTAGCTATAAGTCGTGTGTCGGTTGTCACAATAGAGGCTTGTTTGTGTAGACGATTATTGTATGTATACGAACCCAATAGTATGTAAGTTGGAATCATTTTAAAGAACCTGTGTTTGATGAATAAAAAAAATTTTGTATTTTTACTCGTTTTATATGTTTCCTGTCTGCAATAATATATTGCCCTCAAACGAAACTTCACAGAGTGAATCCGTGCTATAGAAATGCCGTGTTATACGGGGATTACCTGTACACGAATACTAGGCAATCTCCATTTTAAATTTATTTAATTTTTAAAAACGACAAAAATAATCGCAGACACGGTTTCAACAACGTCAAATGAATTTATTGTTTATACCACCGCTGCTACTACTGAAAAACTGGGCAGTCTCTGTCGGCGTATCGAGCGCCAGCTATGCAATTACAGTAATTATTATCATTGCTATGCATGCTAACTATTTAGTATGTCGTCCCGATGACTGCAACGGGCCATTCATCTGGCTATAATATAATGTAACAGAAAGATTAGAAGTACGAAATAATCTAATAATCTTAACCTTTGTTGTTATTTTTTGCCCGGGCAACGCTGGGCTCATCGTCTTGTAGTTAATATTATTTTTATCGCTATAAAAACAATTCTAAATTATCGGAAGAATTACTTTCAATAAGAAGAAACATAAGAACACATTTTATTTAGATTTTAGAATTCACAATAACCATATAAAAAGCAATATATTTTTCTTTATTTGTTTATTATACATATACAGTCGTCCAACAAAAAAGTAAACTATATTATCAATATTTACAAATCCTTTGAAAATAGATAGTTTGACCGGGCCCTTCTAAAAACCGGGCTCTAGACATTTGTCTCATTTGTCTATGCGATGATCCGGCCGTGGCCATAGGATATATCGACTTCTCTTGGCAAGAATTAACTGATAAATGCATGAACGGAGTGTGGAAGAAGTTATGGCTGAAGGTATCCAAGAATTTTCAACGAGAAGAGCCTATCGCTATATTGTTAGGTTCCAAATTGTCAACCTAGTCGATACAGGACTAGGGGATGTAGACGGGCAGGATATTGAGGAGTTACTGCAGGTTGTAAGTCTCTCACCAAAGATGACCTTCAAGAACTAGCAGAACAAGGAANCCGGGCTCTAGACATTTGTCTCATTTGTCTATGCGATGATCCGGCCGTGGCCATAGGATATATCGACTTCGCTTGGCAAGAATTAACTGATAAATGCATGAACGGAGTGTGGAAGAAGTTATGGCTGAAGGTATCCAAGAATTTTCAACGAGAAGAGCCTATCGCTATATTGTTAGGTTCCAAATTGTCAACCTAGTCGATACAGGACTAGGGGATGTAGACGGGCAGGATATTGAGGAGTTACTGCAGGTTGTAAGTCTCTCACCAAAGATGACCTTCAAGAACTAGCAGAACAAGGAATTCATGTAAAACTGAAAAATAGTGGAAAAACGAAGAACCCAAAGAACTTGCTACAAATTTCCTTGGTAAAAGTTTGGTATTGATAACCGAAATCGTTGATCAAACTGTATCGAATGATCCAGATTTTGAAAGGAGGCAAAAGAGGGGGCGTTTTAGATGCGGTCTTCTGCTACCGACAGTTGCTTAAGGGAAGAAAAACAGTGACAAATGAACTTCACGACTTTATCGCAAAAAAAACAAGAATTTCAGAAAAGCCAGGACCTTCGTCACAAAAAATAAACTTTACATTTCTGTATGTATATGTTTATGTGTTATTTAAGATATATTATTATGCAAATTAATATAAAAATAACTTAAAATTAAAGTAAAATCTGTTTATTTTGGGTCGCATGTGCCCTTTTCTCTACTTACTTTATATTAAAATGACCTCGTTTAACGCTGTTTCGTTTCGCGCTTTGTCGTCGAGGAATGTATCCCCCGCGTTAATCAGAGGCTTACTGTAATAGGCTTGGCATAAACAACTGATAAGGTCAAAATTTCTGACACTCCCACGTATGAAACCGCGTATCTGAACTAAACCATCCATGAAAATTTCTGAGTATTCTACTTACGAATACTTAGACATATACTTAGACGTCTCACAGTATAAAATATCAGCTTTTATCGTCAGCTATACCTAATTAAATCGGTGCTAAACGACACACCGAAATTAACATGATGGAAGTCGTAAATACAAGAGAATAAAATTTATAAACAATTAACTAAATATTTGTTTTCAATTAACGTCTGAACCATACTCAAAGTTCGTGTTTTACGATCAACCTATTGTCCGCGGAGATTTCTTGCATTGTATTGAAAATTATTTTTAGTGGCAACTTGCGTATTTGGAGAGGCGAATCTGAACCGAGGGTAAGCAATGGGCTCCAACAGTTACTCACGGGCAGTGGTGTAGCGTAGTGGGGGCGGCAAAATTTCACAATAAATAATAATATCTTGTAAAAATTTGAACCATTTCA